CAGTCTGGGCGACAGAGTGAGACTCCGACTCAAAACAAAAACAAAAACAAAAACAAAAAAAGTCAATGATTTTTGGCCAGGTTTGGTGACTCATGCCTGTAATCCAGCATTCTGGAATGCCAAGGAAAGAAGATTGCTTGAGACTAGGAGTTGAAGACCACTCTGGGGAATACAAAAACAGTTTGGGGTTTTTTTTAACAAAAAAATTCAAAAAATTAGACAGGCATGGTGGTGCCGCATACCTATAGTCCCAGCTACTCGGGAGGCTAAGGTGGAAGGATCACCTGAACCTAGGAGATCAAGGCTGCGGTAAGCCGTGACCATGCCACTGCCCTGCAGCCTGGGCAACAAAAAAAAGTAAAGTAAAGTAAATGACTTTAATCATTGCCTATAAAATCCTTTTTTAGTCAGATGGAAACCTTTCGACAAAATGGAGGGAGGACCTTTACAAATTAACAAATGACAGAGTACTAAAAATAATTTTTGATGACACATCACCATGTGATTCTTGACATTAACTAAGAAGCAGTTTGATGAATTCAATGGCATTACCATAACAAAACTCCTTATATCCCTGTTTACTCATTTATGTTAACAAGTGAGAATTTACTATTTCATGTACAAAATATTTGCCACGTGGCCAAGGATTTAAATAGATCCTTGTGAGGCGAACACAGCCTCCTAACATTATCTATTACATTCAGGTGCAGAGTATCCTTTTTTCTTTTCTTTTTTTGAGTTGGAGTCCCACTCCGTCGCCCAGGCTGGAGTGCAGTGGCACGCTCACATCCACCCCAACATCGACCTGCTGGACTCCGGCGATCCTTCTGCCTCAGCCTTCCAAGTAGCCAGAACTACAGGTGTGCGTCACCACACCCAGTCAATTTTTGATTTATTGTAGAGACAAGTTCTCGCCAAGTTGCCTGGGCGGGTCTCAAATCCACGGGCTCAAGGTAATCCTCTTGCCTCGGCCTCCCAAAGTGCCGGGATTACAGGCTGAACCACCGAGCCCAGTCAAGTATCCCTTTTTCTAGACAAGTTCACATGGATTATTTTCGTGTTCCCTGGGCCACGCTGATCACAAAGATTCACAAACAGGCAGGAAATTCAGGAAAGATGCCCTTATTGTCAGACTCCTGGGACCAGGTGGGACCTCAGAAATCTTCCCCACCAAACCTTGATTTAGCTGACAAGGAATCAGAGGCCCAGAGAGAAGGGAACTGCCAGAAACAGCCAAACTAATAGGCAGCAGAGCTGGAACTAGAAGGCAGGTCTCCATCCTCCCCATCCAGTGCTCCTTCTGCCGTGCCTGGTACCCAATACAACAGGTGAGAATAAAGATGAGACTGTCCCTCCGTGCTGTTCTGCACAATACACCACACTTCCTCCTTGTTCTCAGCATCAATCTGTTTGGCGTGGGTGAAGAGGCTGGTGAGGATTTCCTAGGACTGATTTTCAGAGTAGTTTAGACTCTCAAAGAGAAAGGCAAAGAGGGCAGAACAGAGTAGAACATGCAGGGAAGGAGAAAAGGACTCAGGCATCCCCAGCCCGCCCATGAATTAACATCTTGGAGAACAATCACGCCAGCACTAAAACACCATCTCCAAGCAGATGGGCTCCCAGGTGACATTCCGCTCAGCAGATTTTCAGAGGACAAGATGGTGATGATGCGCTGGATGGGATGCCCTGAGCATGTTTACATATGAGACAGAATGAGTACTGAAAGATGCTAAACACGGATGAGCCTTGAACACGAGACAAGTGAAAGAAGCCAGACACAAAGGGCGATATATTGTACAAATTCTTTTTTTTTTTTTGAGTCAGAGTCTCACTTAGTCACCCAGGCTAGAGTACAATGGCACGTTCACGGCCACCGCAGCCTTGACCTGCTGGGCTCAGGTGTTCCTTCCGCCTCAGCCTTCCAAGTAGCTGGAACTACACGTGTTGCACCACCATGCCTGGCCAATGCCTTTTGCTTTATTTTGTTTTTGTTTTTGTTTTGTTTTGTTCTTGAGTTGGCATCTCACTCTGTCACCCAGACTAGAGTGCAGTAGCACACTCACGGCCACCACAGCCTTGACCTACTGGGCTCAGGTGACCCTTCCGCCTCATCCTTCCAAGTAGCTGGAACTACAGGAATGTGCCACCACACCCAGCTAATTTTTTTATATATTGTAGAGATGAGGTCTCACCAAATTGCCCAGGCTGGTCTCAAACCTGTGGGCTCAGTCAATCCTCTCACCTCGGTTTCCCAAAGTGCTGGGATTATAGGCAGGGGCCACCACCACCGCGCTAGCTAGCTAATGTTTGTTTGTTTGTTTGTTTTTTGTTTTGATTTTGAGTTGGAGTCTCACTCTCTCACCCAGACTGAAGTGCAGTGGCCACTCCCGGCCACCGCAGCCTCGACCTGCTGGGCTCTGGCGATCCTTCCGGCTCAGCCTTCCAAGTAGCTGGAACTACAGGTGCGTGCTACCACACCCAGCTAATTTTTTTATTTATTGTAGAGATGAGGTCTTGCCAAGTTGCCCAGGCAGCTCTCGAACCCACGGGCTCAGGCAATCCATTCACCTCAGCCTCCCAAAGTGCTGGGATTACAGGCTGAGCCACCGAGCCTGGCTCCGGCTAATTTTTAAAAAGTTTTTTGTAGAGACGTGGTCTCTTAAGTTGCCCCGGCTAGTCTCGAACCTGCAGGCTCAGGCAATCCTCTCGCCTCCACCTCCCAAAGTGCTGGGTGGGCCACTGCACCTAGTGAATTGTATACTTTAAAATTGTGAATTATATCTTTTTTGTTTTGTTTTTATTTTGTATGTGAAGTATATCTTTTTGTTTTGTTTTTATTTTGTGTCCGGGTCTCACTCCATCACCCAGGTTGGAGTGCAGTGATACGGTCACAGCTCACTATAGCCTTGACCTCCTGGGCTCAGGTGATCCTTCTGCCTCACTCTCCCGAGTAGTTGGGACTACAAGTGCACACCACCACGTCCTGCTAATTTTTTTATTTTTGTAGCAAGAAATCTCATTATGTTGCTCAGGCTGCTCTCAAGCTCCGGGCCTCAAGCAATCCTCCTACCTCAGCCTCCCTAAGTGCTGGGATTACAGGCATGCGTTATCACATCTGACCTATATCTTGATTTAAAAAAAAGAATGAAATAAGTGTTAAACAGAGTTGTAAACATCGTACTAATGAGGCACAAGAGATCAGGTTGAGGCCTTACACATTTGGGTTACCCACCATGGCCCAGACATTTATTTTTATTTATTTATTTATTTATTTTTGGTCAGAGTCTCACTCTGTCACCAAGGCTAGAGTGCAGTGGCATGTTCATGGCCACTGCAGCCTCAACCTGCTGGGTTCAGGTGATCCTTCCGCCTCAGCCTTCCAAGTAACTGAAACTACAGGCACACGCCACCACACCCAGCTAATTTTTTTTCTTTTCTTTTTTTAATTTAGTGTAGAGATGAAGTCTCGCCAAGTTGCCCAGGCTGGTCTCAAACTCCTGGACTCAGGCAGTCTTCTCGCCTCAGCCTCCCAAAGTGCTAGGATTATAGGTGTGAGCCACCACACCTGGCCACCAGACATTTTTTTTTTTAATTAGGCTGCACAGCAACCCTGAGACATAGGGATTTTTTTTTTAATTTCACACATGAGGACACTTAGGCTCACAGATACAGTTTCTCCAAGGATACACAACCCATTAGTGCCAGAGTCACAACTGAGACTCGACTGTGTTTGGCTTCCCAGCTCACGTGCTCTCCACTATGACATGACGCTTCCCATTCGCTTCCTGTAGAGGGATCCTTATCCGTGCTCTGTGTTCTTCCTCATTGTTCCTTGCACAGAGGTAAACACGCTCAGGTAACACTGTCTGAGTGATTATCTAGGTAACACTGTCTGAGTGATTATCTATGGTCACTTCTGCAGATGGCACCTGAAAAACTAGCCCTCGCCAGCAGCAACCATACCCCAGTCACCAAGTTCATCTTGCTGGGATTCTCCGACTACCCAGAACTCCAGGAGCTTCTCTTTGGAACCTTCCTGACTTCCATGACTGTGGCAGGCAACCTGGGGATGATGCCACTTATCTGCACAGACTCTGGTCTCCACAGCCCCATGTACTTCTTCCTCGGCGTCCTCTCTTTTCTTGATATTTGCTACTCTTCTGTGGTCACACCCAAGCTCTTGGTCAACTTTCTGGCCTCTGACAAGCCCATCTCCGTCGACGGCTGCGTGGTCCAGCTGACCTTCTTTGTAGTGCATGTGACAGCAGAGAGCTTCCTGCTGGCCTCCATGGTGTATGACTGCTTTGTGCCCATCTGCCAACCCCTCCATTATGGTTCTGTCATGACCCAGGGGACCTGTCTCCAACTGGTGGCTGCTTCTTATGCTTTCGGTGGAGCCAACTCTGCTATCCAGACTGGGAATGTCTTTGCCCTGCCTTTCTGTGGGCCCAATCGGGTGACACACTACTCCTGTGACATACCGCCCCTTTTCCACCTGGCTTGTGCTGACACGGCCAGAGCAGAAACAGTCCTCTATGCCTTCTCTGCTCTGGTCACCCTTCTGCCCACCGTGGTCATCCTCATCTCCTACAGCTTGGTCTTGGTGGCCATTGGGAAGATGCATTCGACAGCTGGGCGGGAGAAGGCCCTCTCCACATGTGCCTCCCACTTCCTGGTCGTTGCCATCTTCTATGGCACTGTAGTTTTCACCTACGTCCAGCCCCATGGATCCAATGACCAAGTAGTGTCACCAACGGCCAAGTAGTGTCTGTTTTCTACACCGTCGTAATTCCCATGCTCAACCCCTTCAAATACAGCCTCCGAAACAATAAGGTGAAGTTTGCCCGGCAGAGGAAGCTCCAGGCCAGTATCTTTCCCCGGATGAGACCTGCAAGCTTATCTGTTGGTTGAGGAAGACATCTAAATCACCTTACCAAATACCCTAGCCAAGGGAAGCCTTGGCTTTGGAGGAGGTAGAAGTCAAGGAGAAACCGCAAACATATCTTGGACAGAGCATTACAGTTTAGAAAGCATCTTCTTATGCATTATCCTATTGAGTGCTGGGCAATCCTCTTGTAAGAAGACATTGTTACAATGACTTCATTTTACAAATGGGGATACGTGATCAGAAAAAAGAAGTCAATCACTGAAAGTCATGCCATATCATGAGACAGTGAGTATCTAACATCAGGGCGTCCACATCAAGGCAAGGGATGTTTCCATTGCACCCCAGCCACAAGTTAAGTTTTTTTTGTTTTGTTTTGTTTTGTTTTTAAATTGGAGTCTCACTTTGTCACCTAGGCTAGAGCGTAGTGGCATTCTCACAGCCACCGCAGCCTCGACCTGCTGGGCTCAGGTGATCCTTCTGCCTCAGCCTTCCAAGTAGCTGGAGCTACAGGCATGCACTACCACGTCTGGCTTATTTTTTGATTTATTGTAAAGACAGGGTCTCACCAAGTTGCCCAGGCTAGTCTCGAACCCCTGAGCTCAGGCAATTCTCTCACCTCGGCCTCCCAAAGTGCTGGAATTACAGGCTTGAGCCACTGTGCCCAACCTACAAGCTAAGTCTTTATTGGCAGCTTATCACAACATCTAAGAAACATCAGACAAGGTACAACACAATTATTTCTGTTTTGTGAATGATTTAGTGAATGGCAAGCGAGTAACAAGCCTTAGCCTTCCGAGTAGCTGGGAACTCAGACACTTGCCACCATAGCCCACTAATTTTTTTTACTCTTTTTTTTAACATTTATTTGTTTGTTTGTTTGTTTACTAAAGGACGTGGGGTACAATTTAGAATTAGGAATACAAATGATCACTGTACAGGTAAAGTTTGGACCTGACTTTGGTCCCCACTTCACCTGGTTTGAGATCAGGTACCCTTATTGATAAAGTTTGCCCTCTCCCCAACCCCCCACCCCGGCAGTGTCCCGCTACTGCTAATCCCTTTTTTATAGTATTATGATAATTGTTCAGGGTCCACATATGAGTAAGAACAGGTGGTACTCAGTTCTTTGTTTCTGTGATAGTATTATTATTTTTTTTTTTTGGAGAGACAGGGTCTCACTATGTTGCCCAAGCTAGTCTCAAATCCCTGGGCTCACTCAATCCTCTCATCTCAGCCTCCCAAGGTGCTGAGATTACAGGCGTGAGCCACCACACCCAGCAGAAATGACAATTTAAAATTACAAGGTGCACTTTCAACGTGGTTTGTTTGATTGGTTTTGATTTGTCCTATTTTTTAATTGACAAATAATAATTGTACAGATTCCTGGGACACATAGTGATGCTTTGATACACATACAGTGATCAGATCAGGGTAATTAGCATATCTATCATCAAACATTTATTATTTCTTTGTGTTGGGAAGATTCAACAGCCTCCTTCTAGCTATATGAAACTATGTAATATATTATTGCTAACTATAGTCTTCCTACAGTGGTATAGAACACTGAACTTATTCCTCCCGTCTAGCTATAATTCTGTATATCCTTTAACAAATCTCTTCCTATCCTCCCTTCCCCCACCTTTCCCAGCCTCTAGTATCTTCTGTTCTACTTTTTACTTCTAAGAGAACAACTTTTTTTTAGCTTCCAGATATAAGTGAGAACATGTGGTGTTTAACTTTCTGTTCCTGACTTATTTCACTTAACATAATGTCTACCAGTTCCATTTGTGCTGCTGAAAAATGACAGAATTTCATTCTTTTTATGACTGGATAGTATTCCATCATCTAGACCACCTTTGCTCTATCCATTAATCTGTTGTTGGACACCCAGGTTGAATCCATACCAAGATACACTTTTATACCCAACAAATCAGCACACACTCAAAAAAATCAGACAGAGTGGCAGTAAAGATGTGGCATAACGGCTTGTAAATTGGATTGACCCCTTTTGTGTTTTTTGATTTTTCTTTTTTTGTTGGAGTCTCACTCTGTTGCCCAGGCTGGAGTGCAGTGGCATGCTCATAGCCATCACAGCCTCAACCCATTGGGTTCAGGTGAGCCTTCCACCTCAGCCTTCCAAGTAGCTGGAACCATAGGCACGCGCTACCACTCCAGGCTTATTTTTTGATTTACTGTAGAGACGAGGTCTTGCCAAGTTGCCCATGCTGGTCTTGAACTCCTGAGCTCAGACAATCATCTCACCCTGGGCATCCCAAAGTGCTAGGATTATAGGCTTGAGACACCGCAACTGGCCCCAGATCAACCATTTTCAATAATTTGGCATGAAATTAGAAGTTGAACATGTAGATAGGCTATGATTCTGCAGTTCTGTTAGTAGGCATATCACTTAAAGAAATTCTTGGCTGGGCGTGGTGGCTCACACCTATAATCTCAACACTTTAGGAGGCCAAGGCAAGAGGAAACCTGAGCCCACAGGTTCGAGACCAGCCTGGGCAACTTAGTAAGACCTCATCTCTCCAATAAAGCAAAAAAATTAGCCTGGCATGGTGGTCCATGCCTGTAGTTTCAGCTACTTGGAAGGGTGAAGTGGAAGGATCACCTTAGCCCAGTAGGTCGAGGCTGCAATGGCCATGAGCATGCCACTGCACTCCAGCCTGGGCAACAGAGTGAGACTCCAACTCAAAATAAAATAAAAATAAGAAATTCTTGCACATTTGCATTACACAACATGTACCAGAAGTTCATTGTGTGTTACAGCAAAAAAGTGGAAGCAACACAAATGGTCATCCACAGTAGAGATGGAAGGATAAAAGGGGGCATATTCCTACCATAGAAGCTAATAAGCAGCAAAAGTAAATGAACTACAAGCCACACATCAACAAGAATGAATCCTAAAACATAAGGTTGAGTATAGCAAGTCACTGAGAATGCACACAGTATTATTCCATTTATATGAAATTGTAAAACAGGCAAAACTAAACAATTACAATGTTTAAAAATATATTCACAGATGGTACAACTATTTAAAATAAGATAAGGGGCCAGGCGTGGTCACAGTGGCTCATACCTGTAATCCCACACTTTGGGAGGCCAAGGCAAGAGGACTGCCTGAACCCAGGATTTCGAGACCAGGCTGGGCAACACAGGGAGACCTCATCTCTATAATAAATAACAAAATTAACCAGGCATGGTGGCGTGGGCCTGTAGTCCCAGTTACTTGGAAGGTTGAGACAGAAGGATCGCCTGAACCAAGCAGGTCGAGGTTGCAGTAGCTATGAGTGTGCCATTGCACTCCAGCCAGGGCAACAAATTGAGACTCTGACTTAAAAAAAAATAAAGATAAGGAATGTCTGTCACAAACTTTGGGATAGTGTTTACCTCTTATGAGGAGAAAGGAGATAAAATTAGGAGAGGTTCACAGGAACCATCTCAGAGAGTGCCTACTCCATATGTGATCCCAGGCCCACCAGACTCTTTGTCACCTTGGAGCTCATTAGAAATACAGAATGAGCCAGACTCGGTGGCTCAGCCTGTAATCCCGCACTTTAGGAGGCCTAGGTGAGTGATTTGCCTGAGCCTGCATGTTCAAGACCTGACTGGGCAACTTGGCGAGAACTCATCTCTACAATAAATCAAAAATTAGCCAGGTGTGGCAGCGCACGCCTATAGTTCCAGCTACTTGGAAGACTGAGGCGGAAGGATCGCTGGAAACCAGCAGGTCGAGGCTACAGTGGCCGGGAGTGTGCCACTGCACTCCAATCTGGGTGACAGAGTGAGACTCCAGCTAAAAAAAAAAAAAAAAGAAATACAGAATATCTGGGCAGGTGCGATGGCTCACACTTGTAACCCCAGTACTTTGGGAGGTGGAGGCAAGAGGATTGCCCAAGTCCAAGGGTTCGAGATCAGCTTGGGCAACTTGGCGAGACCTTGTCTCTACAATAAATCAAAATATTAGCCAGGCATGGTAGCGCGCACCTGTAGTTCTCACTACTTGGAAGGCTGAGGCAGAAGGATTGCCTGAGCTCAACAGGTCAAGGTTGCAGAGGCCATGAGTGTGCCACTGCACTCCAGCCTGGGTGACAGAGTGAGACTAAAAAAAAAAATAAGAAATACAGAATCTCAGGCTCTTTATCCTCTTGATTGTGATTTAAAAAGAAAAAAGAAAAAGGATCTCAGGCTCTTCTCCAAACCTACAGAATCAGAATCTATACTTTAACCTGGTAGCCAAGTGATTCATAAGCACATTAAGGATACAAAGATACAAGGGTATTTATTTTAGGAATATTCGTTAAATGGTATAGGTTTTATACACTTTTGCATATATAACATATTTTACAATTTTTTTTTGAGTTGGAGTCTCACCCCATCACCCAGGCTGGAGTACAGTGGCACACTCATTCGCCACCCCAGCATCGACCTGCTGGGTTCAGTGATCCTTCTGCCTCAGTCTTCCAAACAGCTGGAACTAGGGGCGCGTGCTACCACGTCGGTTAATTTTTTAAATTTGTTATAGAAACAAGGTCTCACCAAGTTGCCCGGGCTGATCTCGAACCTGCAGGCTCAGGCCATCCACTCGCCTCAGCCTCCCAAAGTGCTAGGATTACAGGCTGAGCCACCATGCCCAGCCATATTTTACAATTTAATACTGTTTTTGAAATAGGTAGCTTTGCCGGGCTCAGTGGCTCAGCC